TTGATCCATTTTGACACATTGGATTGACAAGCCAGTTAAATTGCTCTATCTTGACAAGATTGGTATTTATTGCTCCATCTATAATTATTAATTAATTAAAAAATTGGAAAAATTATAATTATATAGGTGTATTGCATTGACATTCTAAAAGTCTAACCATAATGATACCTTATATTTGTGATTGTCATATGGTTGAATTTTATTGGTGACGATGTAGACAATATTAATTACTGCATTGGTATTTCAAAGTCTAAATAAATAGACATATAGATTGGATTACATAGGTCCATTGCATTGTTGTATTAATAATTAATAATAATACTAATTATATAGGTGCATTGCATTGGCATTCTAAAGGTCTAACCATAAGAACACCTTGGATTTGTGATTGTCATGTAGTTGAATTTTATTGGTGATGATGTAGACAATATTAATTGTTGCATTGGTATTCCAAAGTCTAAATAAATAGACATAACAAATTGGATTACATAGGTGCATTGCATTGGTAGTAAAAGCATATCTATTACTAATAATTATATAGGTGCATTGTATTGACATTGCAAACATTTCTTCATATTCAATTCGTATTTAATTGTATTGGCATTCGAAAGGTCTAAATAAGGGGTTATAAAAGGGGCGTATGTTCAGTTGTGTATTATCGCAATATGTTAGTTGGTGTCAACAATACGTCTGGTCTTTTGCTAATTGTTTATAAGTCATGTTAGTCTATGTCAATAATACGTCTGTTTTTCATGATTTTATTAATCGATGATTTTTTATTTATTTATGTTTCCGTTGTTGTTTACATGTCAAAGATTCATGAATTGGCATGGAATAAAGGCAGGATGTCCGATTGACATTGTCAAATGAGTTGTTATTTTGATTCGTTCTTCTGAACTGTAAGCATATCTTCTAACTATTTTAATACGAAATTGTAAGTATATCTCCTAACTATTTTAACAGTTATTATTTGATTGAATGATTGTTTTTGTTCGGTCAATCTATTTGAATGATTAATTGTGTTAGTCCTATCGAACGGTAAGTGTATTCTTTAACAATTTTAATATGAAGATTAATTAGCTTTTGTTGATTTCGTTTTCAGGTAACAATTGTTATACGAATGAATAATTGTTCCTTAACAAATCTTAACATGAAGATTGATTAAATTTTTTTTATGTTTGTTTTCAAGGAAATGTTCATGTACTTTAATACGATCAAATCGAGGATGATCCTAGCCCCACTTCCGAACCATTTCTTTTATCATCACACATATTTTTGTTTCCACTGAACAGTCAGAAGTAAATTGACCATAACTTTCTCAATAAAACTCCAATTGATGAGAGGTTTAAATCTTTAGAAACTAGATATACAGACCTTTAATCTGGTATATTACACGCTTAATTTGGATAATTGTAGCCCCTCTACCAAACCATTACTTTTGTCATCATACATTTCTGTTTCCACTGAATAGTCAGTAGTAAGTTGACCATAACTTACTCAATAAAACTCCAATTTATGAGAGGTTTGAATCTTTAGAAACTACACAAATAGAGATTTAATTTGATATATTATACACTTAATTTGGATAAATTATCACCACTTTTGAACCATTCCTTTAATCATCACACACATTTCGGTTTCCCCTGTTTCTTGATTTCCACTGAACAATTAGTAGTAACTTGGCCATAACTTACTCAATAAAAATCCAATTGATGAGCGGTTTGAATCTTTGGAAACTAGAAAGATAGAGCTTTAATTTGATATATTGTACAAAGAATTTGGATAACTATAGACTTGTGGTCGAACCATTCATTTTATCATCACACATATAAAACCAATTGAATTTTAGTGATGACAAAGGAAAACAAATATTGATATGTAGTTTTAATTGTATTTGTTCTATCTCTTTTTGTTAATATTTTTTTATGTTACATACATATATCGAAAATAGGTTGTTGCTGAATATAACAAATTTTATTTGTATCACAAATATCATCTGATGTTTGTTGCCAAATAATGTAGTTTTAGTAAATCATTTATAATATGTCGAACCATTATTATTATCCTTAAAGGAAAACAAATATTGATATATAGTCTTAATTGTAACTGTTCTATCTCTTTTTGATGATATCTTTTATGTTACATATATATATCATGAAAAGAATTTGTTGCTGAATAACTAATTTCATTTATTTAACAAATATCAACTTATGTTTGATGCTAAACCATGTAGCTTTAGTAAACCATTCATTTTATCATCATACACATTTAGGTTTCCACTAAACAATTAGTAGTAAATTGATCATATCCTTCTCAATAAAACTCTAATTGATGATAGGTTTGAATCTTTAGAAACTAGACAGACAGGGCTTTAATTTGATATATTATACGCTTAATTTGGATAACTGTAGGCCCACTGTCAAACAATTCCTTTCATCATCACAAACATTTCAATTTCCATTGAATAGTTGGTAGTAAATTGATCATAACGTTCTCAATAAATATCCAATTGATAAGAGGTTTTAATATTTAGAAACTAGATAGATAGAGCTTTGATTTGATATATTATACGCTTAATTTGGATAACTTTAGCTCTACTGCCAAACTGTTCTTTTTATCATCATACACATTTTGGTTTCCACTGAACAGTCAATAATAAATTGACCATAACTTGCTCAGTAAAAATCCAATTGATGAGAGGTTTGAACCTTTAGAAACTAGATAGACATAGCTTTAATTTAATATATCATATTCTTAAGTTGGATAACTGTAGCCCCACTGTCGAATGATTCCTTTTATCATCACACATATTTCGGTTTCCCCTGTTTCTCGATTTTCACTTAACAGTCAACAATAAATTAGCCATAACTTGCTCAATTAAAATCCAATTGATGAGCAATTTGAATATTTGGAAACTAGAAGGATAGAGCTTTAATTTGATATATTATATGATGAATTAGGATAACTATAGACTTGCTTCCGAATCATTCATTTTATCATCACATACATAAAACAAATTCAATTTTAGTGATGACAAAGGAAAACAAATATTGATATGTAGTTTTAATTATATTTGTTTTATCTCTTTTTGTTGATTTTTGGATTGATTTTATTGTTTGATTTGTGGGTTTTACAATTATCGTCTTTCTTTAGGATGCTATCATCAAATGTTTTTTTTGCTCTAGGTGGTGATCAATTCTAATTGCAGCAAATTGATTTGTGTCACAAGATCTTTATCTTCATGGCTTCTTCAATGCTTCAATTAAGTTGCATTCAGATTATACTATTGGAGTTGTTGTTGCTTTCTATGTGAGTTCTCTTATCAATATTCTTAATTTTTTTTTATTTCTAAAATAATGATAATAAAAATAATTCATTTTCTCTTCTCAACAATCAAAATCAATTTTTTCCTTTGGCTTTGCAAGTCTCTTACTTAAAAGTTCACATTTTTCAATAAAGTTTCTCTTTCTTTGATTAATTTATAGACTTATCAATAATACTCAGTGGGTTATCCTGTAAATTTTTTTGCTTCTCTTGACAAAGTTTTAAACTTTGGTAGCAAATGTCAAATGATAACATATTTGAGAAGAACCATGATGATATAAACTTTGAGTTCAATTTATGGATATTTTATTTATTGATTTTTTAATTATCAATTTAATATAAAATGAACTTCAATATAGAAAATTTATATTTAAAACACAAAAACCAATAATAATGTAAAGAAAAAATATAATAAATATACCCGCACAACACAACTTAAAAATGAATATAAGTTACAGAAATTGCAGAAGGTCAAGATAAATTTTGAGTTTAAATAGTTTACCTTGATAATATTCAAGTGATATTAAATATCATAATTTATACATGATTCACTACAAAATACTGACATCGAATATCAAAAACATGTCTTCAAAAATAATATCAATTGTACAATATGATGATCTTGAAAATATAATTAGACCATATAATATTCAGGTAATCTTCTCAAGTTGGATGAATGATTTAATAACATCTACCTATAATTGATATTAATAATTATACAGGTACAATTGTTAATTTTATCTTAACATAACTTTGTATATATATACAATTTATATTTACTTTAAAATTTATATAATTTAACACTTATTATGTCTTAATCTAATTAGTTAATTTTGTTGGAATAAATTTGTTTACAATCTATTTCAAAAACATTGAATAAATATTCCTACGCAGCGCGGGCTTATGTCTAGTTTAATATAATTAATAAAATCTAAAATGTCTAAAATTTTAAAAAAATTGTAAATCTTTTCTATAATTTTCTAACACCCAGGGAACATTGGAACTTAATACGGAATATTACGGATTTTATAGCTGTGGTCGAAATTTAAGTTGGTCCCTTTATTATGTGAATTATCCAACCATCTCCCCTACCGTTAGGTTTTTCCGTTAAAACTTATGTTGACCAATTTTGACCACTAAACGATAATTTGATCCTTAAAATAAAACTTTTTTAAAAATTCAAAAGAAAAACCTAAAAATTTTTAATTTTTTTAAAATACCAAAAAACCTTAAAATTATATTAAATTCATAAAAAATTAAAAGAATAAATATTCCTAAAACAATTTAGAAAAAATAATCAAAACCATATCAAGTTAAAAATTTTCTTGAAATTTATTTATTTTTTGGGTTATTTAATTATTCAAAAAATTCTTATGTTTTAGGTAATTTCATTAAATTTTGGATGTCAAGTTAATTTTTTTTTAAAACAATTAAGTATTTTTCTTAATTTTGTAGAAACTTATTTTTAGGGGTGATTTGGTCATTATATAAGTAAAAATAGTAAAAAGTTATTTTAACAGAAAAACTAACGGTAAGAGAGGTGATCAGATCATTTGCAAAATCAAGGGCCAAATTTTGCAATTTTTAAAAACTACAGGGACCCGATTGAACACGATTTTAAAGATCACAAACATGAGTTGTCTACGTGGAGAAAGACCGAACATAGAACATCTCAACTGTTTCTACCCACTTGAAATCTCTCTGTGTCACTCTCCCCCTCCATTCCAACTCTGAGAAATCGAGCTATGGCAATTGCCACTACTTCTGCAACACTTCCGAAACCTTTACCAAACCTCAACTCTCCACTTCACTCATTGCATACAAGAACCATCAACTCAATCTCTTCATCTTCTCTCCATTTTGGCCACACCCTTTTGCATAAACTCACCATTTCTCACACAATTTCCTCGAGTTCGAAAAGATTTTCAGGGTTTAAGCCACATGGGTTTGTTTCATGTTCTTTGAGTAATGAGTCTTCTGTTGATGAACAAGTAGAAGACAAGAGTCTCCCTAACACCAGCTCCAATGATCTAGTGAAAAGCTGGTAATCCATTATTTTCGTTTTTAGTTTCTTGCTGTTTTCATAAATTTTATTGTTTAAATTAGTTGATAAATTCGTTTAAGATTCATATAGTTGTCAATTTTGAGGGGCTTTTTCTTGTTCAGTATTTTTTTGCATGGGAAGGGGCCTATATTTGAAAAGGGCAAAATGAAAATTACATATGATTTTAGTAGTTGTTGTTTAAGCTCTGCCTCATTAATTAATAAGGTGTAAGAAAAAGGAAGTTATTAGTCCTTTCCTTAACAGGATTTTATAAATTTAGGAAAATCAAGTTCTTTAATTGGTAGTTGCTGATGCTTGTTTTTGTTGAAGGGATGGATAATTTTGATGAATTAGCCTTTTCTTGACTTGTGATGTTAAGTTTTTGTGCGTTGTAGTGCGTGGAATTGGAGGGGTTATTCGATTCGCTATCAGTGTTCCGGAAGCAATGGCCCTGCTTTAGTTCTAGTTCATGGATTTGGAGCAAACAGGTCTACATCGTTGATATTTCGCTTCTCATTAGCAGACAACTAATTGTTATAGGTATCAAATGCAGATTGCTCTATATTGTCATGCTTGGCGTATATTCGTGTTTGTGTTGTTGGGACTTGCATATACCGCCTTTTCTTTTTTTGATTGTTTAATGTAGATCGACATGGAAGTCGGATGAATTTTTGCAGACTTCTCTGATAATTCTACAATCCTACTTTTATAATAGTTATCCCTCTGAAAATTAAATGATCAATTTCTTAAAGTTTGTTAAGATTTACGGAAGTTTGAATCTGTGGAACATGGATTGATATTATTTAGTTGTAAATTTTCTTCTTAGTAGATAGCATCTTAGTATCAATGATTCTTTTAAACTGTGATGTTCCACAAATCATTTGCATTGGTTTCGGTTTTGAATTATGTGTGGAGAAGCAATGGTATGTCTTTGACAATGTTCTGTATTATAGTTGTGGGGTTATTCATGTTAGCACATTTCATGAACATGGTCCGTCACCAGTACAAATTAACTTAAGAACCTTAGAATTAGACAGCAAGCGGTGATTCGGTAAATATCACTATACCTGGGGAGATTTAAGTGATAAATAATCCATGATTCAATAACAAGGATAGTATTCAATATCAAAAAGGGTAGCTTTATCACAAACTAGCTCTCGGAAAACCATAAATCACTCATTCTTAGAGATGAAAACGACTGACAGATCCACTACATGTTATCTTGAAGAACCATTGCTCTGTCTTATAATGATTTTGTTTCCACCATCAAGTCATATTTGCCAAGTTGCTGCATTTTGAAATGAAATACAGTCCTTGCGTGGTACCTGGGGCTTGTTTTAGTTATTAGTACAAAACATATTTTCTTCCAAGCATGTTGCCGGAATATAGGATTAAAATGCAGTAACAGAAGTGCCTGTTTGTGAGAATTGAGATGCTAACTAGTAAAAATCAAGTGATCTTCAAAAAAAAAAAAATTTGTTGTCTTTTTGACTTTTTTTTTTTGGTTACTGAACTAATGTGGCTGCATCCGTATGTTTTAATCCTTTACTGTTATTAATCTGCAGTGACCATTGGAGGAAAAATATCCCAGTTCTTGCTAAATCTCATAGAGTATATTCAATTGATCTTATTGGTTATGGATACTCGGACAAACCTAATCCTCATGATTTTGGTGACCAACCTTTTTATACATTTGAGACGTGGGGCACCCAGCTGAACGATTTCTGTACAGAAGTTGTCAAAGATCAAGCATTTTTTATATGCAATTCAATTGGAGGTGATCATCTCCTTCTCAATGTTCTACATTATTCGAGATTAATCAGCTTTTATGTTTGTTGTTGCTTAATTGATCTCTTAGTAAGTCATACAACAAATAAAAACAAAAATAGCAGTTGTTACTTATTCACTTGGATTATCTTAGCATGCTGACATCCACGTTACAATAACATAGAAATTCTCTTCTCTTCTCATCATGATGCCAAAACTAAACTTCAGAATGTTTGCATTTTCTTAAAATTTGAAGGAATTATAATTCATCAAGATTTATATTAAATATTTTTTTGTGTCTTCGTGTAGGACTAGTTGGACTCCAAGCCGCAGTCATGGAGCCAGAGATCTGCAAGGGAATGATCTTATTGAATATATCTCTGCGTATGCTTCATATTAAAAAGCAGCCTTGGTTTGGAATGCCTTTGATCAGATCATTTCAGAACTTGCTGAGGTGAAATTGAGATGATTTCTGCCTGTTGATATTTAAGGTTTTTAAAGCTGCACTTGTCAGATTTAAGTTAGTCATGCTGTTGTCATAGGAATACTCCTGTGGGGAAACTTTTCTTCAAATCAGTTGCTACACCAGATTCCATCAGAAGTATTCTTTGTCAGGTAATTGTACATAAATATTTTTCTTTCGACACATAACAAAAGTTGTTCAAAGTTTTCATAGGCTCTTAGTGACACTTGACTTTTCACACAAATTTCCCAACCTTTCGCATCAGTACTGGTTGTAGAAGTAACAAACTTATGTAGTAAGACTGGATATTTAATACGGACCATAAGCAGTTCCTTGGCATTTGCCTGAAAAGAAAAGAGAATTTAGTGCAGCCTTTCCCTTGTCTCTGTTGACTGTTTATGATGTATTGCATTTCAGTGTTATAACGACACTTCCCAAGTGACAGAGGAACTAGTTCAGAAGATCCTACAGCCAGGACTTGAGCCTGGTGCTGCAAATGTATTCCTTGAATTCATCTGTTACTCGGGAGGCCCTCTTCCCGAGGAACTTCTGCCTCAAGTGAAGGTCAGTTTCTGCAAACTGAAGCTAAATATGCTAATCACGATTCCTGCTGATCAAATGTTGCTCTTGACTATAAATTTGCTCTTCATTTTTGCTTTGTTTTCCTCGTTCGCAGTGTCCAGTTTTGATAGCATGGGGTGACAAGGATCCGTGGGAGCCCATTGAGCTTGGAAGAGCCTATGGGAATTTCGATACAGTAGAAGACTTTATTGTCCTTCCTGACGTCGGTCACTGCCCTCAGGTTTTTTTCTCTTGCTCTCTTGCCAATATTTAGGGGCTGTAATCTGGTGTTTTTCATATGTGGAGGAAAAGAATTATTCAGTTTCTTTGTTAATTTATCTATGAAGTTTGTATAAAATGCAGCCATTTGCAAGAGGTTTGAGAATGCTTAAACCTCGTAAGCGTCTTTAACAAGTTTTGCTTACACCAACTGAAATTTGGATTATATACTGTCAATTCAGAAACCATATCTTGGCAAGTATATATATGATTTTTCGCAAAGTATTATTATCTTCTTATTACATTTATCTGTTGATTGAATGAAGGACGAAGCACCCCATCTTGTCAACCCGCTGGTTGAATCATTTGTGGCACGCCATGCTATGGCTCCAGCTAGTGTTCCCAAGGTTACCTCCTGATCTTATGTCTCCAGCTAGTGTTCCCACGGTTACCTCCTGATCTTATGTCTCCAGCTAGTGTTCTCACGGTTATCTGATCCTTTTGCAGTTTTCGCTTCAATTCTTTGTCGCCACAATTTCATGTTTTTCCTCTCTGAAAATGGCAACCCTTGATTTATAAAGGTAGCGTTTCACTCGAGATTACTGCTAAGGCTGGTTAAATGTATATATTTTCTTGATTTTATTCACTCTGATCACATTTCATTAACCTTCGTTGATATCAAACTAAGTTTCCATTGTTTATATATCTTGTGAAAAATAATAAATAATTGTCTCGCTCATCCCCCTTAGCAATTAATGAGACAAAATTTCGCTCGAATCCTTAATCAACAGATCTCTAATGTTAATTTCAGACTTAAATATTCATGTTAAGTAATTTGTGAACACATGAATCACAAATCGTAGGACATTTTTGTAAGATCAAAAGCATAAATTTAATTCATGCAATTTCAATCAAACATAAATTATTGAGTAAGTTCGGTGCAGAAAGCTTGTTTGAAATCTGGAATTGATCGATTGTTGATCGTGGAGACTTGTCTTCCTCTCTAATAACATGCAAAATTACGATATTTTAGAATGAGGTTAATATGTCGTGCGTTTGGAAAGGGGACCCAACCCTTTTAATAATAATTTATTGGACATTTCCATTACAAAGTTAAATAAGTTTCGCAACCCGCACTTACATCGTCATAAATCAGATCAATTAAATATGAAATGAAATGTATAAGGATTAAAAAAAAAAATTAAAAGACCACAAAATTTATTAGAATATGTTATTGGACCATGTGTTTATTTGGTTTGATTAAATTAAAATATAATTCATATTAGTCCATAATTAAGAAATTTTTCACCAATTTTGTGACAATAATTGTGTGTGAACGTTGCCGGTGCGCATGCATGACATTATCATATTATAATGAAGAGGTTAGTACATAAGCTTAGAGCATTGTCTAATTATATTTTGTCATTTTCCTTTATTTTCTACACCTTTTGGCATTGTAATATCCCGTTTGATTAGATTAACACACAAATTAAGTAAAGAGTGGCTATGCTATTAAGAGCATCTCTAAATGACTCTTTATATGACACAAACTTTTTTATTATGAAGAATCTATCCATAAAAACAAGAGTCCAACAGACTTTTTATCCTTTAAATATAAATTAAAGAGTCAAATTTTACTCTTTATTCTAATTTTAATTAATAAACTACAAGTTTTTATGTATTTTATTTATTTATTCTCTCTCCTATTAAGTCTTTTTTTCTAAAAAAATAAAAAACATCTTCGTTAAATTTAAAAAGTTTATTGAATTTGACTAAAAATTTTATTTTTTATATTTAAAAATTAATGAAGATACTTTTTATTTATATAAAAAGCTATTCTTTAAAATAAATAATCTAAAGTCTAAATATCTTCCATATTAGGTATAGGTGGTAAAGAAGCTGGTCACTTGTCACCGCCATTTGCAATTAATTTTATAATGTTGACACTTCAAACTTAACTGGAAATCAAAAACTACTACTTTAATGTTCACATTTCTGTATAGTTTTAATGATTAATTAAACCTACCTAATTATGTTTAACACTTTTGATTAATTTCTCATAGATCTCCATAGGTGTAGATGTCAACCCTTCTATACCTATCATGCCTTACAGCCTCCGGTACATGACTTTTGGTATTTACTTGCTTATTTATGTGATTTTACAAGTTACTATAATTTTTTCCTTCCTCGACATAAATATTGTGTCTCAATAATGTCAATTTGCATCGTCGTTTTTCTACAACAACACAAATAAAAAGGTTATAAACTCATTGAGAACCCCTCGTTGTAACGATGCTATTTGAACGCGATAATGTTACGTTGTGGCATATTTGTGTATACCCTATTTCGATCTAGGCCGAAAGACTTCCACCTATCCAAAGTTCGGCATAAAGACAGATTGATACTCAAAAGGTTTGGAAATAACAAACAAATACTTTCTGTTATATTCTGTTAGGGATTTTTATCTGCTAAAAGACAGTATAGTAATTTCATCTACAGTCACAAAATTTTTAAATTTTAAATCTTTTTCTTCGTATCCATTTTCACCCCAAGCCCGTTTGCACAACCTTCTTGCGTCATCAATCGATTTTTTGACCAGATTTAGCATTTTTCTGCAAAGTTCGGTGATAAACAGTGACACTGGCCCTTGCTGGCGCACGTTGGGAATTGAGATCGGTGGGTATTCCAGTCTTTTCACCATTTTTTTTCTTTTAGCAGATGAAAATTTCTAACAGAACATGACAGAAAGTGAGTGTTTGTCATTTCCAAACCTTTTGGGTATCACTTTATCTATACAGCAAACTTTGGGTATATATAAGTCGTTCTCCCTTCGATCTAAATATCTTATTTATTAGCTTAAATTCTTAAGTTAAATGGAAATTTAACATGCGAATTAAAAGAAAAAAAAAAAACGTAAGTAAGAACAAATGATAGTCAAGGCATAAGGGCTCTTGAAGTAGAATTGCATTTAATACAAAGACAGAATTTTGATTCAAGTTCTTTAAACTTCTGAAAATTAATAAATAGATATGAGTGTTCATGTACATAATTTATCCATAGAAAAACATGGAGAAAAGGGGAGGACCTATCGAAACTGTGTTCAATTAGAATTAAACTGAAATAAATAAAAGCAACCCATTTGTATAAAAGATGTTATACATGCAATTAATTAGGGAGAACGACATTTTCCCACCCAATGTTTGGCGAAATGACACTTTCTCACCATTCGTCAGGTTCTGTTAGTATTTTCTATTAATATTTGACTAAAAGATAAAAATACCTTTAAATATTTTATTTCTTAATTAGTTTATTATAAATTAAAATTTAGTTAAGTCAAAGTCTTTACTCAAGTGTAAAGATACATTTTTTCCTTTATTTATTTAATTAATTAAGAATATTAACTATTAAGATTGTATATGTTAATTAGTGAAAATGAAAAACATTACATTAATAGATTATTGAATAACAGTGATGAGATATTTTATGACATTATAAATAAATATTAAGGTCATTTAACTTTAAACAATTTCATAACAGTACTCTTAACTTTTTAGTTAGGGTTAACTATTTTCTTTTCTTTTTTTACTTTTTAATATCTTACTTTTTGGCTAATTTAAAAATAAAAAAATTATAAAGTCAAATATTTAAAAGTATTTTCGTCTTTTCAGTCAAATATTAACAGAACTTGACGAAGGGTGGGAAAGTGTCATTTTGAAACTTGATGGGTGGGAAAGTGTAACTTCACCAAACCTTGGGTGGGAAAATGTCATTCTCCCAATTAATTATGTCACATTAATTACGGACATCACAAGAGATGATCTTTTGGTGTAATCAAATTAGTGTAATATGTTATTTGAATCTGACCAACAGCAAGGTAACCTGATTTTTTGTCCAAGTTAATTAATCAATAAACTAATCATTTAATTAAGCAACTTAATAAAGCATGAGAAGTTTGAATAGAGAATGAATGGTGGGATTAATTAGTGTGGCCCCTACATCATCATCATGTTTAAGCATGCTTAATTAATCAAACCCAATTTTTGTAAATTTTTAATTAATTAATTAAAAACCCCTAAAGTCATGATTACATCATAGGTTAATTTAATTAAGTGGGCATCAATTACAAGTATATATACCAACATATAGAAAAGGCTAAATTAAGAGATATTGTTAGCATTGGAGAATCTTAGTCTGCCCTTTCTAATCACATATTATAATAAATATTATCACTCCTTTTAAGATACTATTAGTTTACTTAATCATCAATAATAATACAGAAAAAAAAAAAAAAAAAGTTAGGAGTTGTAAGAAAAGCTATAGGACACCCGTTTTGGTAGAAATTTTGTTTTATATTTTGAGAGTTTATTATTATATATTATTGTTATTATTTGAGAGTAGACAACTTTTTCTCACCCAAGGTTTTCTTAATGACACTTTTCTACTAAAAAAAGTTTTAAAATATCACTTTCTCACCCAAAGTTTATATTTCATTAATACCCAAAATATACTTTACTTTCTCAGCCGGCGTTCGACGAGCTACCAAGAGTCAAGGTAAAACGGGTTTTGTAGAGTGGAGGCCGATGGATCGAATGGTGTTAACCGATTGAATATTCGTCGTCAGAATCAGTCGAAAATCAACTAAGAATAGGAGACTCTAGCTTTACAGTGACTGACAATTGGCGAGAAATCAAGTGCTAGAGTAAGAGGGGTTTTATGGAGAGATACCAAAGGTTTAAATGGTGGTGACGAAGAGAATTTTCACTACCGGAATCAGCTTTAGATAGTAACCGAATATAAACTTTAGGCAGAAAAGTGATATTTTAAAATTTTTTGAGTGGAAAAATGTCATCAAGGCAAACCTGGGGTGAGAAAAAGTTGTTTACTCTATTATCTGATATATAAACTTTGAAGGTACAAGAAAATTTATATATAAATAAAAGAAAAAAGTGTATACCTAACAAGTGAGATAATTAGCTATCCTAATCTCAAAGAATATAGTAATTATCCAATTAAATGACGATTAAGTTATTAATTTATATATAAATAGGAAGTGATGTATCAAATATTATATTAATAACAACTTGTATTTGTAAAGCTTATTTTTAATAAAAGAAGTATAAATAAATAGGCTTTTTGCAAAGTTGAACTAAAAATTGAATCTATTTTAATAATCTTGTAATTAAATTAGTAATAAGAATTAAATGAATCGGGGTTTGGAGATGATGAAATTGTTGAATAAAATAACACATGAGTAACATGCATATTTGTATTGTTGAGCCACCTTCAAAGGAAATGTAAACATCCAAACACAAAAGCCAGATAAAGATTTGCAAAAAACAAAAGAGAGGAGATGAATCTTCCTCTAAATTCCAAGAAAATAAACAGTGGATCTTATTGGTGCACCCACCAAGCAAAAACTTAATTATATTAAGAATAATCTATGTAAATGGAAAGCAAAATTAATCATGTATTATGGGCCATACAATCACATATCAAACAATCATGTCTCACGTGTCATGCAAAGATATAATACCATCATCATCACCACACATATATATTATTATAAGACTTCATATTAAAATATGTATAGCTAGGACTTGTTCAAGATGATGACTTTGGTTTAAAACTGTTTATGTATGTATGTATATTTGAACTCAAGTTAAGCTTTGTATATTTTTATAACAGTAGCTCATTAATCATGGGTAATTTCAAAAGGGTTTGTGTCTTTTGTGGAAGTAATTCTGGGAATCGAAAGATTTTCAGTGAAGCCGCTCTTGATCTTGGTAGACAACTGGTTTGTATATTCATATATGTTTCTCTTTTCATCTCTCTCTTTTGCATGAAATTCTACCTCGGGGGTAAACGAAAAAGATGAAATGTTGCAGGTTGAGAAAAAGCTGGATTTGGTTTATGGAGGAGGGAGTATAGGGCTGATGGGTTTGGTTTCTCAGACAGTTTTTGATGGTGGGTGTCATGTTCTTGGGTAAGTAATATGCGTATATAAACACTAATTAAGTTTATATATTAATTTCTTTTACAACAAAAATGCTTATTTTCGAAGGTTAAAACTCTGGAATATCTTAATATCCTCGAAAACGCCCTTTTCGATATTATTAGTTTGATTATTTTTGTGATTAACATTGTGTACTGATTTGATTCATTTTGTTTTGTTTTGGCTCTAGAGTTATTCCAACAGCTCTTGTTCCAATTGAGGTATGTACTATATACGTCGTATAGTATATGATCATCTTCATCTTTCTCATTCTCTTCGGTTCATAATTAATAACAATTAAAACGACCTCGTTTTCAGATATCAGGGCAAACAGTTGGAGAAGTAATGGTAGTATCCGATATGCACGAAAGAAAGGCAGAAATGGCTCGTAGAGCTGATGCTTTCATTGCACTTCCAGGTATATATGCATTATAATACATGCTATTTAATTAATATATAGTTTATAATAATACGTTAATCATAATAATTAATTAAATCACAACTGTTTTTTCAATTTTTCTACCTATGTTTTTAATTGCTTATTTTATTCATGAAGGAGGTTATGGAACCATGGAAGAATTACTTGAGATAATTACATGGTCACAACTTGGTATCCACGATAAACCTGTAAGTAATTTTATCTATATATTACAGAATCAGGATACTATGACTTCATTTTTTGACACTCTTTGTGCATCATTTATCTTTTTTTTTTTTTTTTCAATATTTTTTTGTATACGATTCATCTTTGTTGATTCAACGGTAATAAGAAAAGTTAAATATCTAAATAAATCATGGTATCCCAACCCTATATTGTATATATATATATAACTAGCTTCTTAATTAATTAATTGATAATATTCTGTATACTTGCAACTTAATTAGTATATATTGACTTGAATAAATTTGCATACGCAAGATGTACGAAATTAAAACCTTAACTTAGACCCTAATAAATTAAGAATAGGGCATTTAATTAATTTATCTTTTCTAGGTCCCAATTTATGTACTTTATATTAATTTTTATTGTATGTAAATTATTTTCTAGCTATAATAGCTCTAATTTTCTAAGATAAAAGAGAGGTCCTGGTGAGCCAAGTGCAAAGCAATTATGGACAGTTAAGGAGCCAGGATTTTGTATCAGTGGGGCAACTCAAAGCAAAAAAATTAATATATTATTAATAAAATTTTAATTTTTTAATACATTAAAATTCGTTAATAAAACTTAATATGAAAAATGAATTTATACTATTTTATTTGTTTTATTGATAATAAAATGTTTTTTGGAATTCAAAATAATAATTAGAGTGTTGATTAAAGAAATATTATATATGTATCATTATGTAAAATAATAAAATATGTTATCAACATATTTTTCGAGCATTTTTTGTTTTCCCAAAAATCTCTTTGCTTATAGAAAAACAATCTCAAATTAATATATGTGGGATGAAATTATCATTTATCCATAAATCCCTAAATTTTCTTTTATGGTTACTTCTTAGAAAATTATTATAACCACAAATATATCTTATTTAATAGTTTAAAAAACAATTAAACAATTCATATCATTATTTTGATAGATGAAGATAAATAAGTTCAAAAAAGAACAAATCAATTTGAGAATCATCATATATAGAAGATTTAACATAAAAATAAAATAAAATAAAAAAAGAAGAAGAAGAAGAAACAAAATTAAAATATATCTGCAATTTCAGAAAAATAAAATAAAATTGAAGTGATGATAATGTTAAAACACAAAATAGAAGGATATAATTAAATTTTTTTCCAAGCTCAATGGGGGCATGAGCCCCCCCTCCCCTCTCTCTTAGTGGCTATGTCCTGATTATTGAGACTATGTTTTGATAATTATGAAAGTTTTAATCTATGTTAATGATGGATTAATCATAATTAATATATATATGATCATTTGATTTCATCTTTTACTGGATCAATTTTAATTTATTTTCTTCATACATGAAAAATATATTGTCTAAACTCTTCATGTATTACCTAATAAACAAAATCATAATCATATATTATTGATTACATAGTAATTTTTTTTATTAAACTTATTCCATGATAGCTAGTTAAATGTTTATATACTAGTAAAAATTATTAAAAATCTCCTCATAATTTACCCTTAATAACATGATTAGAGACAGAGAGAGCTCTAGGTCTAGGGTCATGTTAATAGGAAACCATTAGTTTCTAATAACTTTCCGAATTAAGTTTATGCACTTAAATCATACTTTGAATTCTTAATCAAACCATCAAAATCAGGCACCAAAAATTTACAACCATTCAAAATTTTGAGAGGGATGCCTTGAAATGGACTTATGACCATTTTTAGCCTCTTATTTAAAACCTAATCTTTTTGCTTTAACGTGCGTTGTTTGGTGTTTTTCTTTTGTCATACTTATCAATTCTAATTCTTATAATTTAAAAATAAATAATTTATATTAAAATCTGGATTCGATAACGTTATTAGGTACGATTTAAATTTGAAGATTTAGTATCAATTATATATAATTTGACTTTTGACTTTCTTGCACATATTTTGATTTCGATAAGAAAACTTGGTTTTCAATAAATTGATTAGAAAGTTTGGTTGTACAATGTTGGCTCTTCGACACTTCATATTACAATATTATATTAAAAAATTTGAAAAGTAAATATTTAGTGTAGGCTGACTGTTGGCTTTCATTTTATATTAAATTAAGTTGGCAACTAGTCATTCATTTTTAGTTCAGGAAATCCACATCTGAAAATGACTTTATACAATAACTGCCAAAGTTAAAACTATTTGTATGATAAAACTTACTAAAGTTCATTTTACGAAACATTTGAAGTACTTCATGTAAAAACACCCATCAAGTAATGTCAGTTTTCTATTGTAAAAAGGTGTTGGTAAACAAAAGCACTTGTAAATGTTTCTCTTTTTATTTTGATTGCTAAAACAGGTGGGAGTCTTAAACATTGATGGATATTATGATTGCTTGCTGAGATTCTTTGACAAAGGAGTTGAAGAGGGATTCATCAACTCTTCTGATAGGAACATTATCATTTCTGCAAAAACTGCCAGAGAGCTTATACAAAAAATGGAGGTAATGAAACTCCGACAGCAACATTACTGATAACATGTAATGATATTTTAGTAATCTTAAACATTATCGATACAAACTGCACTTGTTGTGTTCCTGCAGGAATATATACCGGTGCATAATCAAGTGGCTTCAAAGCAAAGCTGGAATGTAGAAGAAAATAGAGATGAAGATTTGTAGAAGATTGATTTCTGTGATCCCCCATAAGGAAATAGGCTTATTTTTTGTCTGAAATATTTACTGATGACTCTTTGCATTTAATTGCCTGCTGAAAGAGGGATAATACATGTAATACAGAAAACATTGTTTTCAAATTTGCAGAATTACTACTTGTTTAAGCAAAATGTTTGCAACTGAGGAATGTGAGTGAGCTCAGTATGTAAAAGTGTACTTACATTGCAAAAACAGTGGGATAACATCAAAGTAAAAGAATTAAGCTTCAAGCAATTTCAGATGCCCAAAATCAAAATAGATATCGAATGTTACATCTCGGTGATTCACAGATTTAAAACAATGTCGAACCCTACATGAGGCTTCTCAACGATGCTGCCTGCTTCTGGTTGAAATCATACCTCGTGAAAGGAAATGCTGGTGCACTAAATCCTCAGTGTTTCAGTCGGTTGCCTGCCCGGTGAGTAATCAAACACATTAAAGCAAAACAATTTAAAGATTATGTACAATATACTTCTGAGTCGCAATACAGAACCCAAATAACTAACAACCAACATGGGAATCAATCTAGATTAGAAAAAGAAGGTTATCTCCGTAACAGACGAAGGCAAAATTTGCAGCTCCTGGCAACAAAACGAGAAAAAGAACGAAATGGTACGTTTTGCTAAAACTTGCGATCTAAGAGGAGGTTTCTATGTGCATAATATGAATCTGTGTGGGCTTTCTGTAGGATAAAGAAAATATTAAAGCAAGGAAAAGAATAAAGATCAACTTTTATGTTATGCAGCAATATGACAGTCCACAGACATATGGCAGCAAAGGCATATTTTCGAACCATGAGTTTGCCAGCAACAAATCAGAGTCTAGAAATTTATGGCAGCCAAATGCATCTTCAAGAACAGAGATTTATTTTATTTTAGTGCTTTATCCAATGGTTTTGGTTAACTGACCTCCTTTGTGAGATGAAAATCCGCAGTTATGTCTGCTAGGTTGACTTCTTTGCAATCTTGTTACCTTGTCCATTTTCCACACAGGCAAACTACTCAGTGGAGAGACCTTAACTATTACTAAGATCGGCAGCTACTAATGACTTTAGGGATCAACAATCGTCCACGAGTGATAGAAGAGTGTTTCAAAGCAGTTTCAGGTACTGGTTTCATGACAACGCAAAGTAGTTCACAAAACTCAATTTCTAGTCATTCAGGGACATTGAAACAGGTTCCTTTTTATACTTTGAATCAGCCATTTAGGTTGTCTAGTGTCCATTGTTAAATTAAAAAATTATCATCTTATACACAAGTCAAAATAACAAGAAGAAACGAAAAGAGAACAGATACGAACACTCGACCACTTTAGAAAGAATCACAATAAGAACAAAATGAAACTCAATATAAGTTGAATCTATGTTACAGATACAGGCTTTCAGATCGACAAGAATCACCAATCATCAATAAAATGAAAGAACTGCAAATGAAATAACAAGCCTGAAGTAAACTCAAAACTTCCGTTCTATGATTGAATCAAGATACAATAAAACATACTATTGAGATGTGAATCTCTTTATGCTAAAGGTAACAAGAGCGGACGCCAACCTGATCAGCAGGTATTAACTCCATCCTTGCAGTCTTTAGTCAAATTATAAAAGGTCTCCACTCGTGTCTTTGCCCTGTAAAAGACTTCAGTGTCCACAGCAACTCTCATGTATCCATCAAACTCAACTGGTCGTCCATTGTTCAAAGATGTGGTCTCGTTGTACCACTCACTTGTATTACTCCACAGTTCCTTGTAGTCATCAAGCAAATGAACCTTGTATTGAGACCTTAATTTATCAAAGTAATTATAAAATGGTTCATTGGTTGCAATATACAGATGTCTCCAAGGTTGAACCATTCCTTGCAGCTTTGCAAGGAGAGCATCAGGTGATGTATCAGAATCCAAATGGGGCCAGAGCTCCTTATTTTGGGCTTTTTCTCCTCGAACCACATGAACCGCATCAAAATCCCAATCCATTTTCCCACTGATCTCTGTGACTATATTCATCAATCTCTTGGATTTCCACAATGCATGCCATGGCCTCTGAATGTATTTTGCAGCTTGCCCTTCACACACTCTATACCAATAATTCTCCGGCTCTGGAGCATCAAACTGCCTCCAAATAATTGTGCTTTTATCTTTCCTAAGTTGCATTGGTGTAACCTTATGTGTAACAACTTTCTTAGTTGGCACTTTCCTCTTATGACTCCGATCCCATTTCTTCCAATCCCTCAAAAACTCACCTTCCTCCACAATCGATGCCACCTCCTTAAGATGCTCAAAGTCAAAATAGAATCGAAAATCCTTCCCCTCCTCATCCTTATTGCTCGGGTTATAAGTTGCTGACAAGCAAACACTCAAATCCATTACAAATGTTCTATTCAAATACATAGCCTCTCCCAAACCACACAAGAAACTCCACATGTACTGATTCATTCCTTTACAATAATCTCCTCCACGCGAGTAATACAAGTACCTCCCTTTCCGAAAATTCATCTCTGATCCCAAAGTCGGGATTGTGTCATTGATCTCATCATCACGAATTGTCGGTGCAACTTTGGCATTCACACCACTCCTGGTGGTATTAAATCTATTCCTAAACATCCTCCTGGCATTAACACCGGAATGCCAACCACTAGCATACACAACTTTGTAAGTACAATTCTCCCCAATTCCGAATCTAAACCTCCTAAAATCCCTATACCTCCTCCAAGACTTCTCTTTCTTGTTCCTAAACCTCCAAGCCACGTCACACTCATTTGATTTCGACCCATTAACCGGAGTTTTATACTCCAGAAACACAATCGACTTAAAATACTTCAAGTTAAACCTCTCAACCGCGATCAACACTCGCGGGTTAGAACAATTTACTACCTTCAAGTCCTCACACTCCGATTCGGCCATGACCGTCAAATTCTTTATTTCTTTCTCAGATTTCTCAATCACTGCTTCAGTGATGGAACTAACAGGTGAAGCAGCAGCGCCCAAAACAAGTGGCAAATCTTCACCAGTTTTGAGGATAGATTTGTCATCCTTAAAAGTAGCATTTTCAGTTTGAGTGAATAGCTTTGTTAAAGCTGGCGCAGATTCAAGCCATGGATCTGGAGGCTGATATGTGATAGCAATTACTGTAAAAATAAGAACTGAGAATACAAAGACTGAGAAACATAGGTTGCTTATAAGTTTTATCAAATTCTGGCCTATTGGCTCCGTGCTTATATTTGATTCGTTCATGGGATTTGCCTAATCTCAAATTGCCAATTCCCTAACCTAATCAGATCTTCAAATTTCCCTAATAAAAAGTTATCTTTTTGGCAACAGAGAAAATGTAAGAAATTTGAAGGGAAAGGGCTTTGTTTGAAGGTTACTTACACGAATTCCTCGACGGGTTTTGCTTACTCTTCAATACCCAAGTTTCAGATTCAGTCAGATCTCGAAACCAAATCACGAAACTGGTGTTTGGAGAGAGAGAAACTTCAAGAAAGTTAAGGAAAATTTAAGTGAAACTACTCGGTTCAACTCACACTCCAATCCTTGATGGGCTTTGCTCACTGCTGAAACCACATGAGTTAAAACTAATCAAAACTTTAACTTGAACGAAGAAAGAGGTGATTGGCAGCAAGAAAATGGAAGAAAATGAAGGAAAAAGAGGAGAAAATTACAGACAAGAGAAGTAGGGATAGGATCTGTTTCGTCTGAGGAATTTTGGACTTGAAGCTGAAGTAAACTTGTTGGTGACAGTTCACGTTAGTGTGTAAAGGAGGTGACACGTCAGCTTCAAGAGATTTGGACATCTAAACTACAAATTTAAAAATTAATTATTTTATTTATTTATTAATTATACTATTAGTTTGAAAACCAATTTCAATTATATTTAATGAATTTATTTTTGCCGATTTTTTATTTGAAGATTTTATGAGATTGTATTTGTGTGGTATTTGAGAGTTTATTTTTGTTGACCTTTAATTATTTTGGAAATATTTTATTGATATCTCCTGAGAGTTCTATAAAAACATATGCATATTCCATTATTTTTTAGATTGATTAATTTTCCTTTTAAGAAAAATTATAAAACTTAGTGTAAGTATATATTTTTTATATTTATCTTTGCCTTTAATTCTTCACTTCAATTGAAAAAAGGAAATTTGAATGTTTTCTTTTTCCCTTAACATCCCCAAATGTAACTATTTAATGTAAAGTTATGTTCTTGATTTTATACCAATCCCCCATTTTATTATTCTTTTGTTTTTTAGAGTTTAATTTTCCTATACTTCATCCTATTTCTTGAAATAAATCTAACTCCGAAGTATTTTATTATTGGTATACAAAACCTTTTATATAAACTCTTGTACAAACTAAAGTGTTTTAAGATAATATTGTATTTATAATTTCATCAAGCCATAAACTAAGTAGATATTGTTAGAAACTTTACAACTTTTAACCTTTAATGTTTAATTAAATGAAATCAATGTTTATAAAATAGTTCGTAAAATAAATAAATGTATGTAACAATCAAAGTTATAACTTAAGTAGATATCTATCTATTTTAACTCAATTCATACGGGTTATTTTTTAAATAAATCAATAAAAGAGAAAAAGGCAAAACCGAGCACAAATTGACCCCAAATGCTCAATAGTAGAGAGTAAAAATGGAAGCATGTGTAGACGACAAAGGCCGCTGCAAAGATTCTTAGGTTATCTGGAATTATTTTAACATATTTATGATCAATTTTTATAAATTAAAGATCAAAACTCAAGCTAATTCAATTATTGTACAAACTCAACAATATAATAACATATGTCACTGGAATTGGATCGTGTTGCCTAAAAATATAAGGGCTGACGTCAGGACCCTTTAACCCGCAAAAGTCAGGTCATTAGAACAGCCACCGTCTGCGTCTGTCAGGATAGTGGGCGCGCGTCAGGCTAGTCAGGAGGCTGTGGTGCTTCCACGTGTCCAATCCCTGCCCTAAATCGCGTAAATCACTCTGGAAGGTGGGCAATGTGACATAAAGAAGGATTTGCACGGATAATCCCACCAACTCGCAGATTTAGTGATGATTGTCTCAAGGCATCTGACTATAAATTAGGAATTCATCTCTCATTAAGGGGGTTCGCACACTATTCGCTTGATTAATTACACTCTCTCTTTTCTTAGCAATTGATACCTTGTAATATCATTATAAAGTCAGCCAGCTAATAGCGACCTGACCCCTATCATCAATACAAGCATCAGTGGACGTAGGATTTGCTACCTTAGCATCCGAACCACTTTAAAAACTGTCTCCATTGCATTTACTATCTTCAACCCATTACTTTCACGTGTGATTTCGGGACCCCCCACAACATTTTACACGTGCGTTTCGTTGGTGCAAAATCACGCATCAACAGTTTGGCGCTAGAAGGAGGGCCTGATTTAGTGTTTATCCTTCATCAGGAGAGTCTCCAACCTACCAATTCTACAGCAACGAATGGCCCGTCAACCAGAACATGAGCAAACCAGCCAGGGTACTCAGGGTTCCCCCCAAGCTCAGGGGGATACCTCTTCCAAAAAACCTTTGGCCCTACAGAATGCTGTGGGAGATATCCTATCAAGCTCACAGCTTGACCCCGCTATAAGAAACTACCTGGAGAGGTTTGACAATACTCTCCAGACGATTAACCAAAGGTTGGACCGTTTGGACCAAGGCGCGCCATCCAAGTCAGCTGCGACGGTACAACCATCAAAAATGCCTGCAGGTCACACAAAAGCACGGCAGAGGGAAATAGCCCGTGCCGCGAGCACTGCAGTGCGAAGGCGAAAGGGTAAACAAGTGGCAAAAAGCAAGCCCACGAGCTCCAAAGGGCCGGCAAACACTAATTGCGTTCCAAGCAGAATACCGATCTCGCTGAGACTCGGTGAAAAGACACAGCCTGAGCCTTCCCATGCCACGTCGCAGGTACATACCCATAAAAGTGCTGGACGGGTCGATTTTTATCACTGTCAGCAAGCTAATCCTGGTTGCCATCGTGCAAAGGGGTCACACACTTCGCGGGGCGGTTCTTACCACCACGAAGGTCGTGAGAATATCCCACACCTCTCATCGCCATCGCACGCCTCTAGTCAGCGTGTGTCAAGAATGACTGGAACCGCCAACCGAGGTGAAGAAAAGCCCGACCTCCGGGCATTCCTCAATCGCAACCGCGAGAACCAAACTCGCGTGGGTGAAAGCAACCCCCAAGTGGCTCCGTTGCCGCAAATTGAAGAGCTATAGCGAGCTCTAGACAGGCTAAGGGCCGAGCAAAATGAGCAGAGACAGGTCACATCTGCGTCCCTCTTCTCTCCCGAAGTGTTAGCTACTCCACTCCCGCATGGATTCAGGATGCCCAACATGCAAGCGTTTGATGGAAACTCCGATCCGCAGGATCACTTGTATGAATTTAACGACCTGATGGAACTCCACCAGGTCTCAGACTTGACAAAATGCCGCTATCTAGCAGTAACATTGACCTCCCATGCCAAGCGATGGTTCAGGTCGCTCCCAGCAAGGTCGGTCAGTTCGTGACCTCAGATGAGCACGACGTTCCTAAGGCATTTTCAAGCGAATCGGAAGTTTTCAATGCCTTTCAGTTACCTTAGCAACATAAGGCAAGAAAGGGATGAATCCCTCTAGTCATACATTGATCGTTTCCACAGGGAACTCAATAAGGTAGCTCATACTCCCAAAGAGTCTGTTCGAACTCTCATTATAGCCGGAGTTCGCCCACAAACCGACCTGTGGAAGGAATTAAAAGCTGAGGACGATGTCTCCCTCACAGGATTCTACAATCTTGCGGAGAAATACCTCCGAATAGAAAATTCGTTGGTGGCGCTATGCCGTCGTGACCCCAGCGCATCGAGCAGTATGTCTGGTCGAGGGGAAAGTGGAAGAACTGATCGCAGAGGGGACACTGACGATTAGCGAAAAGGGAAGAAACCCCGCTACGAGCACAAGAAATCATATGCTCCTGTTCCTCATCGCAACCTCGATAGGGTTCAATATACTCCACTGAATGTGTCTGTATCGGCCATTCTTGATAAATCCGAGGAGGCCAGTCTGCTCGATGAACCAGAACCCATGAAAACTCCCGCAACAGCCAGAAATAATAAAAAATACTGTCGTTTCCATCGGGACAACGGGCATCATACAAATGAATGCCGAGCTCTAAAGCAAGCAATTGAAGAACTTATCAAGAAATGGCACTTCAAATAGTATATTGATGACTTCGCTTCTGCAAAAGAGAAGAACCAAGAGGAACAAGGAAGAAAGCGCCGTGATCGCAGTGGGTATAGCAGCGTTAACATAATCTTTGGAGGACCGCACCTCGCAGGAAATACGCAATGCGCGCAGGAAAGGTACGCTCGCGAAGCCCATCATGACCCGATCAGGGTGATGAGTACATCGCAGCGACCACAAAAGGCTCGAAAGGAGGAGCCGATTGCCTTCTATGAGGAGGAGCCGATTACCTTTTATGAGAAGGAAGCAGCTCGTTTGCATCATCCTCACGACGATGCTCTTGTGATCACGCCCCTGATAGGGTGCCATAATGTCTGCAGAATGCTCGTGGACAACGGAAGCACTGTGAAAATCCTGTTCCAGACCGCTTTCGAAAGAATGAACCTAGACAAGGCCGACCTGAAGCCTGCTTCGATCCCTCTTTACGGCTTCACAGGGGACCACCTGATCCCCAAAGGAACGATCCAGCTCCCAGTCACGCTCAGCGACTACGACGAGGTGACTAAAGTTACTGAATTCTTGGTCGTGGATTGCCCATCGGCCTTCAATGGAATCTTGAGGCGACCTCTGTTGAGAAGCTTCAAGGCAATCACTTCCATATACCATCTCAAGATGAAGTTCCCAACTCCAACAGGGATAGGGGAAGTGAGCGGATCACAAAGCGCATCTCGCGCTGCTACATAAAATCAGTACATATGGCATGTGAAGGAAAGGGCATTTCGCGATGTGTGCCTCACCAAGCTATGACGATCAGTCGGATCGAGCCACAGCCTGGCCCAGCAGAGGATAATATAGATTCTCGAATCTAGGAAATCCCTCCCAGCGGCCCGGTTGAGGATCTTTCTGAGGTTTCGGTTGATCCAAAAGAGCCGAGCCGAGTGTTAAGAATTGGAAGCTGTCTCAACCCCCGAGGTCGCGTTCGAGCTGATTAGCTTCCTGATTGAAAATATCGATGTGTTTGCCTGGTTGCATGCAGATATGGTCAGGATTAGCCTGGACGTTATTTGCCATGCGTTAAACATCGACAGCGAAACCAAGCTAGTTCGCCAGAAAAGAAGAGCAATGGATCCGGAGCGGTATGCCGCCTTGAAATTAGAAGTGGACAACCTCTTCTGAAATGGGTCCATCCGAGAGGCACTCTATCCAACCTGGGTTGCCAACCCGGTTCTGGTAAAGAAGCCAAATGGCAAGTGGCAAACCTGCGTCGACTTCAGCGACCTCAATAAGGCTTGCCCTAAAGACAGCTTCCCCTTGCCAAGAATTGACCAACTCGTGGATGCCACCTCGGGGCACGAACTACTTAGTTTTATGGATGCATACTCGGGATACAATCAGATTCCGATGTATGGGCCGGACGAGGAACATACATCCTTCATTACAGACCGGGGGCTGTATTGTTACAAAGTTATGCCTTTCGGCCTCAAGAACGCTGGCGTGACCTACTAGCGATTGGTTAACCAAATATTATCCGACCAGATCAGAAGAACAATGGAGGTTTACGTGGACGATATGCTAGTCAAATCCCAGGTCGCCTCAGAGCACATTGCGCACCTGGCTGAGATGTTTGACATCCTCCGGCTGTATGGGATGAAACTGAATCCTCTCAAGTGCTCATTCAGAGTGTCATGGATCCATCATATGTGTCTCTTGAGTCAGCTCAGCGTTTCCCACATGCGAGTCGTTGGCGTCCAAAATCAAGCGTCAACAGATCGAATCTGAAAGACTAAAACATATAATAGTTCATGTATAATTAACCATGTTTATGGGATAGTTTTTTTTTTTTTAAAAGGGAATTGTAAGTTTTATGATATTATAAAAATAGAAATGGAAATGGGGTTTCTTACTCTTGTCCATTTGCTGAGTACAGGGATGTTGAAACTGGCTTAGAATCAATCATTGAAAAATCCATTAGTTTTCGAAAGTTAAGTGATTTCATATGAAATTTATTATTTGTTTCTAGTGTATAATCCTTGTTGGATTCTTGAAAGTTGTTTGATATAGAATTTAAATACAGTTTTTCAGGGGTAAGCGGTTCCGGGTACCTTGCATTTTTCAAAGGAACCAGAATCGGAACCACACAGTACAGGTTCTTAAATTCAAGGAACCGGAACCTAAAATGCAGGTTTCGGTTCCTTTCCCGGGTAACCTATAAAAAATCAATCACCCCCCTATTAGTTTAAAAAATGACAAAAATACCTTAAAAGTTTACAAATACACCCCTAACAAATATACTATTTGGGTTTAGGGTTTAATTATAATGTAATATTATAATTAATTAAATTTTTAATCATTTAATTAAGTATTGTAATATTGTTTATAATAGAATGTTATAATTAGTTAAGTAATCATACTATAAATTTATAATGTAATGTTATAATTAATAAAATTCTAATCATTTAATTAAGTATTGTGTAAATTAGTAAATTAATTACTAATGTTTATAATATAATGTCATAATCAATTAAGTAATCATTTAATTATGTAATGTTATAATTAATTATGTAATCATACTATAATGTAATGTTATAATGAATTAAGTAATCATATTATAAATCTATAATTTAATATTGTAATTAATTTAATTTCTAATCATTTAATTAATATACTAATGTTTATAATGAAATGTAATAATTGATAAGTAATCATACTTATATATTAAATATATAAGGTAATGTTATAATTAATTAAATTTTTAATCATTTAATTAAGTAATGTAATAATGTTATAAATTACTAATGTTTATAAGATAATGTTATAAATTCGTAACTAATTATATAATCATTTAACTATGTAATGTTATAATTAATTAAGTGATCGTAATATAATGTAATATAATAATGTTATAATTTAAGTAAGTAATTATTTAACTATAATGTAATGCTTAATTAATTAAATCTCTTATCATTTAATTAAGTAATCATTTATTTATAATATAATGTTACAATTAATGTTTATAATATAATATCATAATCTATTAAATAATCATCTAATTATGTAATGTTATAACTAATTATGTAATCATACTATAATGAATTAAGTAATCATATTATAAATCTTTAATATAATATTATAAATTTATAATTAATTTGTTTATAATAGAATGTTATAATTAATTAAATGATAATTTAATTATAATGTAATATTACAATTAATTAAGTAATCGTATTATAAATTTATAATGTAATGCTATAATTAATTAAATTTCTAATCATTTAATTAAGTATTGTGTTATTACTAATGTTTATGTAGCAAATTGATAATTACTAATATTTATAATGTAATGTCATAATCAATTAAGTAATTATTTAATTATGTAATGTTATAATTAATTATGTAATCATATTATAATATAATGTTATAGTGAATTAAGTAATCAGACTATAGATCTTTAATGTAATATTATAATTAATTAAATTTTTAATCATTTACTTAAGTAATGTAATAATGTAGTAAATTACTAATGTTTATAATGTAATGTTATAATTAATGTTTATAATATAATGTCATAATTAATTAAATAATCATTTAATTATGTAATATTATAATTAATTATATAATCATACTATAATGAACTGTTACAATGAATTAAGTAATCATACTATAAATCTTTAATATAATATTATAATTAATTTGTTTATAATAGAATGTTACAATTAATTAAGTAATCATTTAATTATAATGTAATGTTACAATTAATTACATAATCGTACTATAAATTTATAATGTAATGTTGTAATTAATTAAATTTTTAATTATTTAATTAAGTATTGTGCTAATATAGTAATGTTTATGTAGTAAATTACTCCCTCTGTTTTTAAATAATAGTCGTTTTAAGGGTGTTTTACTTTTTCAAAATAAAAGTCACTCATTGTTGCTCCTTGTCAAAATAAAAAAAAGAGACGAAGAGCAGAAATGGAATAAGACAAAAATATTAATTATTTAAATATGCAACGGGAAAGTTTCCCATCTGCAAAATAAGGGGAGAAAGTTGGGTGGGAGAGACAAAAATTTTTTTATTAAAACTTGTGCCCAAGCTTAAAATGTCTTTTATATAAGAACGGAGGGAGTAGTAATTACCAATATTTATAATATAATATCATAATCAATTAAGTAATTATTTAATTATGTAATGTTATAATTAATTATGTAATCATACTATAATGTAATGTTATAGTGAATTAAGTAATCATACTATAAATTTTTAATGTAATATTACAATTAATTAAATTTTTAATCATTCAATTAAGTTTGTACTAATGTTTATAATAAAATGTTATAATTAATTAAATAATTATACTATAAATCTATAATGTAATGGTAGAATTAATTATACTATAAATCAATTAAGTAATGTTATAAATTATAATTAATTAAGTAATTATTTAACTATATGTAATGTTATAATTGATTATGTATGATATTTAACTAGTAATTAAATTTATTATGTTATCAATTTATCATATATAATTAATTAATTACAATTTATTATAGATAACTTAGAACTTGTGATTGAAGTAAATAACTAAATATATTATTATTCAATTAAATATATTATTTTATTCAAAAATAATTCTTTTAATAACATTAAAACACTTTTAATTGGATCATAATTTCAATTATTCACTTAATTACTTTAATATTAATATATAAAGTTTTTAATATGGTGTAATTTAATGTATAAGTATAATTGTATATTTATTTAATTAGGTTATTCTAAAAATTTAACTTTTCCAATTTTAAATTTTTTTATATGTAAATATAGAAACCCCCATTATTCTTTATTCACATTTCACAAATATTTCATATTTTCATTGCAGTCTAGGTTTTAAAACAGATTCCAACATGTTCCAAAACAGTTCCAAAAATCGATTCTTTTTTCAGATTCCGGTTCCTCCATACATAAGAACCGAATCGGAACCGTACAGTGTCAGTTCCAATATAATGGAACCTGAACCTATCCACTCAGTGCCGATTCCGATTCCGATCCAATTCCAATTCTACCTCCAGGTTCCTGTTCTACCTACTACCCTGCTCACGCCTAGTTTTTCTTTTTCTTTTTCTGTTTCATAAAATAAAGATATAGATAATTTTTATGTATTATTGTTTTAAAAACAGTCTCGAACACAACGATAAACATTGTAACTCAAATGAAAAACAGCCTCTTGTTTTTAATAGATTCACAATTATTTTGGATCACACGCCACATCCTAGTGTTTCTTTGATGTTCCAGGTTACAAAAGGTTTATCTAGGACACAAGCCATACCGGATTGACTAACATTGACCGGCCATAAATTTTATTTTCGTTAGAATCATAATTTCTTTTTATGAATAATGTAGTTTAATTATTTTTTTATAATTATTACATAATAAATTTTTATTTAAAAATAACAATAATTTTTAACTTACATTGAATATTTTAATGTTGAGTGTAATTTGTCACTTAGCACACATTATTTCGTTCCCTCAATATTCATCTTGTAACTTAACTAAACAATGAAACTATAATTCATTCCATCCTTGATTCATTATTTGAATATGTATCATTTTCTATTTCTCTTTCCATTTCAATACAATTCTTAGAAGTAAACATGTCAAAATAAAATGTTAGGATCTCATATTAGAAAGAAAAATTGTGGACATTTTTGGGTTATAAGAGATTGGACACCCTTCTTGCAAACCTTTTTTTCAATAAGAGTTCTACTTAAGTCCATGAAAGACCCACGACCTAACCCAATTATTGAGTTGTTGGGGTGGGTTCCTATCACAAAATGAGAAATTTTATTGGCATCTCTTGTTAATAGCATTAACAAAGCAATCAACTCAGCCGTGCCATCTAATTTTGCGTCAAGAGCATACTTGTATTGCCTTTTTATATACTATACACAAATAGGCCATCAAATATGAATGGTTTCGTGTACAGGTGCGCATCATGTCAGCTCGTGATTGGATGGTTACATATACGTTTGTCCTACTGAAAGACCTTCTAATGGTACACTGGTTTCACTCAACAAGGGCATGGTTATAATCATGGAAATGAAAATTTTTGTAAATGAAATGGGACAGCCATTTTGAAGCAGCAAAGCAAAGTATCGCCGTGGAAACCAATGTGATCCTAGCAGTTGCTGGCATCTTGTGCTTAGTTGCAGCGACGACCCCTATGGAAATTATGGACACGACCTGCAGTGCAACCTCAAGTAAACCAAGACCTTTATGCGCCACGCTACAGCTGCGACAATTCACCACATGAGACCAGTACCTGGAAGAAAACATGAACAACTATCAGTATGAACATGAGTTAAATTCTGAAGATTAGATTCGAGATAATTAATTGCAAACTTGGAGGTTACCTATCCATTAGTTGCTCTTTGGGAATGGGGGGAAGGGCAAGATCGAATTTGAACTTATCTCCCCAGTTAATTTGACCACCTGAGTACTTGTTCAACCATTTTCTGAAAGCAACCACATTGGCATCGGATTTTGTTGGCACAAAACAAGCCTTTTGCCAATTTGAAGGGCCTACAGCCATTATCTTGCGCTCCTGAATGGTAACCGTAAGATCAAGAAATGTTTCAAAAATAATTGGTGTATAGCAATCAGAAAAGTATATCAATTCTTTGGAAGAACAGGCCAGAACAATAGTAGAACAAAAAATCTTGAAAAGTGATTTAATTAAAAAAAAAAAAAAAAACCTCTTTTAACTTATTACTTATAGATAAGCCCAATTAAACTGGCATTAAATATTTGTACTCTGCGAAGGGTATTACCTCCAAATGAAGAAAGTACAAATCTGAATCAAGAACAAGATTTTGGTTCAAATGAAATATCCATCTAGGAAAAATTCGGTCAATCCAAACTGCAAAATTTCTTGGAAAGCACCATATTACTCTGCTTTTCCCTGGGCTAACTGGAACACAGATAAAGATTAGAACAACCCTTCGTTGCACAGGAGGCTCCTGAACCAACAAAAATATATAAGCAAAGAAAGAAATCCACACTGCAGTAAAAAGAAAAGAAAATCTCATTTGAGCTAAAAGATAAAAGCCTGCTGCTTTTTACTTTTTTGTTTTCTGCTGGTGACGCTGAGCCATTTCTTCCATCAGGTACACTACCTTCATCTGTAACAACTTCAGGAAAAGCGTAATAAACACAAGGAGCGATGAATTTGCTACCACCCCATGCACGCTTTGAAGTGAAACCGCTTATTCCTAAGCCTTGTGCGCTCATTTCAATCGGCACACCTCCTTCTTTATCAGCCTTAACTGTGAAACAAGTCAAGAACTTAGTATCAATCATTTGAAGAATTCCTAAGTGTGGAAGCCCACATTTGACTGACTTTTTTTTTTTTTTTTTACAATGAATGACGTTAGTCAATCATTTACCGGCGTCATCTAATGAGACCTGTAGTTTTTAAAAATGTGGACGTCCGCAAGACTGACAGACTGTATAAAGAGATATAGAACATAATAAGGAAAAGTAAAGTTGAATCAGCAGTTCTTATCTGTCTTTGGCTTGTGGAATTCTCATTATCTTATAATGTGCATATGGCACATGAGCCGGGTCCATTAGATTTTCAATTAAGACCTCATACCTGAAAAATTCCTTTGAATTCAATCCCTTTTTTTCAGCAGATGGAATAGAAAAATAGAAAGTGTGGCAGAGGATAAAATATATATTTTTGCGTACCCGTAAGGCATGTCTCTATTTCCAATTGATTTGGTGTATGAAGGGTCATCCATTTCTGGCATGTTTGGAGGTTTTTTCTTCAGCAGAATATCTTTGTATTGTGGTTCAGAGTTTGGCCAAAACCACACAATACCATTCTGCACAGTGCTTGGATAAGCATTTACACATGCTTTCTTGAATGTGTGAACCTGGAAATTGATCAAATCGTCAATTAAACTCGCATTTCACCAAAAATTCATCACTCTAAATCATGAAAGTGAAAGAAAAATCCATACGTAGCTCAACATTTTCAACCGAGTAACAAGAAATTAGCAAAGAACATCAATGAGATAGGGCAATATGAAATATCTTAAGCCATTTTGCACCCAACAATAGCATTTAGGCCTTGAAATATCCTCGATCTCCTGGACCGAACAAAAAATGCAGGGAATCCTGACACTCAAATATGGTTAGAGACTCAGGGAGAAATTAAAACATCATAAAAATTCTGGATCAGATTGGCTGAGCAACTAGATAAGCTAACAAATATGGTCCCGTAATAGTAATTTATCTCTAAGATTGCGAACCAAACTGAGCGTAGAAAAGTTCTGAAAGAAGAAGAAACTGGCTGTATCTGATTGATAAGCAACAGCAATTCACTGATAAGCTTGGAATGAACAGAACCACAGCAATAACAACTACGAAGCACAAACTATAACTTCATAAAACCTCTTCATCAAATTGGTCTGCTATCAAGTTAAGTGATCACCAAACGAAAAGCATAAGAAGACAATAATCAACACAAATTCAATGATAATCCGAGAATCAGAACAACAACAAAACATAAATTAAAACATCATAAAACCTGTTGATCAAATCGACCAAACACCACGATAAGAACCACCAAACCAAAACCTTAACCGGACAAACAAATTCATTTTTAACATGAGAATCAGAAACAGCAACAACAATGCGCGAACCATCAGAGCATCATATAACTGCTTGATCAAATTAAGCTGATACTACGTTAAGAAACCATTAAACCAAGACCTTAACCTAACAGTATCTAACACAAATTCACCATTAATCACAGAATCAGAAACAACATCCAATCGCTTAGATACTACATTAAGATACCACAAAACCAAAAGCTTAAGAATCACAAGCAAGACGCCACCATCAAGAACAAGAACAAGAACAAGAACAAGAAAAATAAATGAAGCACAAGGACTCTTACCGGAGGGCCATCAGGGGGAGCCTGGGGGATGAATTTACAGTCACCAGAGCCGTTGAAACACCAACCATGGTACACACATTGCAACCTGCCCCACTGATCGATCCTCCCTTCTGACAAAGGAGCCAATCTATGAGGACACGAGTCGTCAAAAACTCTCCATCCACTCTCATTCTTATCCCACCACACCACCACATCAAGCCCCAAAACCCTCTTAGCATGTGGCACTCTCTTGTCCAAGTCACACACTGGCATCACGGGATACCACTGCGCAAACCAGTCAAATTTCTCTCCAGTTTCAAGCTCATCAACATCAACATCAGCTGAAACTGTTGTTGCTGCCGCTGACGATGAAAGGGTTGTGTAAAGTTTTGATTTTGATGGCAAGTTTTTGCGAGTTATTGAGAATGGTGAAGTGGTCAACACCGGTTTTGTGAGTTGTTGAAGTTTGTTAAGTGAAGTAGTTGACTTCTGAAGTGCAGGGAATAAGGAAGCTGTTAAAGCTTCCATTTTTTTTGCTTGTTTTGAAAGGCTGTAAGAGAGTTGAATGTACAAGTTTGAGCAAATTTATTTATTAAGGATGTTTTGCTAGTTGGATGGATAATATGTGGAAGACGTTTATATACTTTTTGTGAATGAAAATGAGTGGATGGCTCTGCTTGCTGCTTGAAGCTGAACTGTTACTGTCACCGTATCAGAGGTGGAGAGAGTATACAAATTATTTATTTATTTATTTATTTATTTATTTTTCGAGCCTTCAGTATTTTTTTATTTTCTGCAACATTACAAATATCATTGAATGTGATGAGAACCCACTCCCTACACTCAACCAAGACAGTAAAATAATAACAGCCAATAGGGAGAAAGTAGATGTGTCATATATATATATATATATATATATATATATATTCAGCAAACGACTTAACGACTTTTTCCCACCCAAATAATAGTTTAATAGCATTCTTTACCCATAAGCTTTTAAAATATCATTTTATTATCCAAATTTATATTTTGACGGCGAACAAAGAACAAACTCAGTCTAGACTATTAAGGTTTTTGAAGAGAGGATGCCAATGAGTTTTTTGGTGGTGGGAGGTTGGATTTTAGTGGTTGAAATTGATCGGAGTTTGACTTGGGAGAGGCCGTTGTGTAAACTCTAATCGTTCGATTCTCGGCGATTGGCAAGGTCAACGGGAGTAGGGTTTGAGGCGTTTTAGTGAGTGATGATCAGGAAAGAGAATAATAATGGTATGGGGTTGCAAAGATGCCACAATAAAACACGGAACATAAATTTAGATAATAAATTGATATTTTAGAAATTTATGGGTGAAAAAATGTCATTAAATCATTATTTGGGTGGGAAAATGTCATTTACTCTTCAACAAATTGATAACAATGACAACAAAACAACAAAATACACCCAACATATCAACCAAAAGAACTAAATCAAAATAAGAAAGGAAAAATAATGTTGGACTTCGAGGGCAAGCTCCTCCCTAATTGCTAACTTTGGCGGTTAGCACCTCCCAAATTTCCCTATTTTCTTCCCTCCTCTGATCTGCTCTCTCCCTCTCTTTTTATCCTCAAGCTCTCTCTCTCTCTCTCTCTCTCTTCCTAACCGAATTCCTTTGCTGTCCCAACCCCCAATCGGCACCTATCCCAACCTAAACCCATGGAAGTTTCCTGTCAACATCCCCTCAATCCACTACTTGCTACCTTATTTCACTTTTCCTACACCCTCATTGTCCAGGTCTTATCAGAATGTTACGAAAATGACATCAAAAATATCCCAGAACATAACTAATCCCAGTTGTTAAAGTAATCAACTCTTCTATTAAGGTCATAAAGTCCATTCATTTCTCGTATAAATCTTGTGCATTTGTCAAATAAGTTCCGTTGAAATTTGAGAAACTTCATACCAAAGTGTAACATGTTTTTCTATATAACTATATGTAAGTTACATTGATCTTAAATGTGCAAACATGGGAGATAAATCATAAATGTTATTTACATTCTTTAATCAGTGGTTAGAAACTGATTTCAGCGAAGAGCGTGGTTATAGTCATGATAATGAAAAATTTTGTAGATGAAATGAGCCAACCATTTTGAAGCTGCAAAGCAAACTACTGCCAGTGAGACCACGGTAGTTCTCACGGCCGCTGACATCATATTTTGCTTGGTGGCAGCAACAATCCCAATTGAGACAATGGAGATGACCTGCAGTATCACCTCAAGTGCATTGAGACTCTTGTGTGCAGCATTGCAACTGCTGCAGTTCACCACATGGGACCAGTACCTGCAAAATTATGAACAAAATAACAACAATTCAGAGTTCTTGCAAGCGACAAACTTTACAGAACTATCGAAATTTTTTGTTGTCCTTAATTTTTTCGTTCTTAAGGCACACATGAAATCAAAGTTTTAATGGTAAGAGTACAGTGTTTTGGTGTTCATAATGTGCCTAAAAAAGCCGACTGTAGATATACGGGGAAAACGTTTGATAATGAAGCATAAAAGCTCATTTGTTATCTGTGCTTTCATTACCTGTCCAGCAGCTGTTCTCTTGGTGGTGTTGGTGGAAGAGTGCCATCGAATTTTCCTCTCCAATCAATTTGACCACCTGCATATTTGTTTAACCATCTCCTGAAACCAACCACAAAGGCATCTGCCTTAGTAGGCACAAAACATGCTTTCTGCCAATTGGCAGAGCCGAAATCCATTATCTTACGCTCCTGCAATGACAAAACCAAGAGTCAGGTAATACCATTGAATATCAGAAGCTGGTCCTACCGCTAACGCTATATGGTTAATTACAACTGGAAGCAAGAGCAACAATGGACAGGGGTTCAGTTCTCTTATTGTCAGTTCTCTTATTGTTGAAGAGAAGACCTTCAAGCGTACACTTGAATGCTCGTGAGAGTTTTGAGAAGTCTCAAAATTTAATAACAACATACATTAACAGCAGTCCACTTGGTATTTAACATGAATGTAGATAAAGATGGAAAAGATATGTGCATAGATCTTGAAAAAGAAAAAAAAAAAGTTCCACCAACTATTTGATTTAAAATAAAACAGAAAATAGTTCATGCAAAATGACGTGGCGCAGTGAGAACAGACATTTTACAGTCTAGCGCCTACAAGAATGGAAAATCACCTTTCCAGTAAAAGAGATGGGAATTACCTCAACATGGAGAAGATATAAATCTGAATCCAGAATCAAATTTTGTCCAATATGAAACATCCATCGAGGTACGATTTTATCAATCCAAACCCCGAAGTTTCTTGGGAAAGTCCATATCAATCTGCTATTACCCGGACTAACTGGAACACATATAAAAATCAAAGCCATTCGACGTTGCTCTGACTGCTGCAGCAAGTAAGATGTAATTGGATTTTAACTGAAAAAAATAATAATAAAAAGTAAAAGTAAAGTGGAAAATCAGCATCTATCAGCTCAAGATAACAAAATCTATTGACTTCACCTTTTTGGCTTCTGCCGGTTGTGCAGATCCATTACCTTGATCCAGATCAGAATAAGCATAAAAGATACAAGGTGCAATAAATTTGCTACTGCCCCACTCTTGCTTCCCAATGAAACCATTTTTGTCATATTGCTTAACACTCAACTCAATTGGTCTGCCCCCCTCTCTGTCCTTCTTCTCTGCTAAGCAAATTTTGTATTGGACTTATATGTCTATAGAGGACAGAAATGAATTAAAACAAGGTTTATCCAGAAGTTCTTATCTACCTTTGGGTTGCCGAGTTTGCATTATTCCATAATGTGCATATGGAACATGGGATGGGTCCATAAGATTTTCAATTAAGACCTCATACCTGAAAGTGCAATTAACTTAGAACTTAAAAAGAAGATCGTTTCTTAAATCTAACTGGTTATTCATACCTTCGCAGTAAAGATATTCCTTTTCAAAAAACAAGAATCAGCAATAACATCAAGGGTGCTGAAGTCTAGAGAAAAAGCACTTTAAACTTCAAGTACAAGTTTATGTAAGTAAAAAATGGAAGACCAGGTTTTGACATACCCGTAAGGAATATCTCGATTTCCCATCAGCTTTGTATATGAAGGGTCATCAAGTTCTGGGAGGTAAGGTGGTTTCTTAGTCATAATAATATCTTTGTACTGAGGATCAGTGTTAGGCCAGAACCACACAATGTCATGGTGCACAGTACTTGGATAAACTGCTGCGCATGCTTTCTTGAATGTGTTGACCTGCATAATTGGATGAAAACATCAGTTAAAAGTCTTTTTTTTTTTCCCAGAATTTTATAACGAAATGTTTATTCCACCTTTAGTACATCACCCTTATGTTCTCGTGAAGGACAAATGATAAACATGATTATATTAGATATTCAAGTCGATAAATACACAGAAACTGAGATTAATGATTGGTAAAGTAGCAATCTCCATTTCATATGACACATAAAATCTTTTATATATGCATGATAAAATCTCAAGAATTCACTCTAGTCAATAGTTTCTTTAAGCTCGTTTTTCCCCTTTTTTTTTTAATTATTATTATTCTTTGGAATTAGAGATCTTTTAGTTCTAAAAAACACAATATTACATTCTAAAGCCAAATTCTTCCCTGTACCTTGAAGAGGAGTATGAGAATATAACACTGTCATGCCATGTTCCTTTTAATGCAAAAAAGCAGTAATGTGGCAGGGGAATGGAATATATTTTAGCAAGTGGAAAAAGGAAAAAGTGAACAACTTGTTAAAAGCATAGAAGAAACACTAAACAAGTTAGAATAATTTGACAACCTTTTACTACAAGGAGAGAATTAAACTGATAGTTCATCTCAACAGTCCTCACATAAGAAAACTCTATACAAACTTAACCATTGTTTAATACCCAGAAATCCAAAGTCCCCCAAATAAGTGGCTCTAAGGGAAAAGAAACTTAAGTGTAAGAAAATTAACCAGTTTCTGAGAGAAATTGATAGTTGCAATCAGCATACCAGGTCATTATGACACCCATTTGACAAACTCTTGATAAATATTCTATTAAATTATTTCCACCCATACCAATCATAATGGTAGTTGACTAGATGAAAGAAAAGGCCAATACATAGACATTATTAAACGGACCTATAGATAACATGATATGCATTCAAATTAAACTAGCTAAGCCTAAACATAGATTCCAACAAACCAAAACTAAAGCAACGAAATAGCATACATAAGAATTCTTCCACTTAAAGTTGAGGAAATTTACTCCAAAAGTTGAATCTTGATACATAATCGTTCATTTTTAAACTTACCAATCATTATGGTGATTCATTAGATCAAATTTTATTGGAAGGGCATACTAATAAAAATGATACGCCTTCACTACCGAACAAGGTAAGCCTATAAGAAGAATCCAACAAGCAAACTAAAGCAATAAAAATATCAAACATAATAATTAGTCTATTGATCTTCCACTTAAAATTGAATCTTCAAAATCAAGAGAACTTACAGGAGGGCCATCAGGGGGAGCTTGAGGGATAAACTTACAATCACCAGAACCATTGAAACACCAGCCATGGTACACACACTGCAGCCTTCCCCACTGGTCAATTCTTCCCTCAGACAAAGGAGCCAATCTATGAGGACACGAGTCATCAAAAACTCTCCATGCATTCTCATTTCTGTCCCACCACACCACCACATCAAGCCCCAAAACCTTCTTTGCATGTGGCTTTCTCTTGTCCAAGTCACACACTGGCATCACTGGGTACCATTCTGCAAACCACTCAAACTTCTCTTCTTCTCCTTCGGCTTCAGCCTCAGCCTCCAGCTGTGGCTCATAGGGCTGCGCAGTTTCTGATAAAGTGGTGAAGAGTTTGCATGGTTTTGGAGGGTTAGTCTTGTAGGATGATGAGAATGGTGAAGTGGGGAGGAAAATATTGGGGGGTTTGTGGAAGGTTTTTGTTTTTGGGGTGTTAAATGAAGATAATGAAAGTAGTTTGATAGCTTCCATGGGATCAGTTTGAGCTCATGCACTATGAACAATATCAAGTGATGAAGTAAAAAGAGATGTAAAGAGTTAAACTAAGTTGAGGCTGTGAATGGCAGCTGAGATTGAGAGTATTGTAAGAAATGGACGTTAGCTTTTGAGGCTATGAATTGGCCAACATGCCATGAGACAGACAAGTTTATCTGGGGTTGTGGTTGTTTTACGTGGCTGAAATAATTGCTCGAGATTTCCTAAATATTACGTAATCACTTAATTTTGTTAGTTTTAGGATACTCATAATATTCTTGATATCCTGTAATTTCATAATTATGTTAGTATATTGTAATTGACATAACTATAGACTGTATCTCCCCTACGTAAAACCTGTAACTATCAATGTAAAAAAAAAAAAAATTGCTCATTGTAGAACAGTCATCGGAAAAAATCACCGGTAAGTAAACATTCATCCAATTATCGTCAATCCAAGAAGGAGAAAACGACACAATCAATCAAACCCTCCAACCAAACCTCCAACTTTGGTCACCGGAAAACACCATCCTGCCCATATCAAACTTGCCAAATACACATATCAACCATCTTCAATCAAAACCATCAACCTCAAACCACACCATCAAATTGCCATTCAACATCACCAAATTTATCTGATCGCCAACAACGAAAAAAAAAACCGACATTTTGTTGATGTCTCAACTGTTGTCGTTGCCAACCTAGCCGAGAAAACTCCAATCTTCCTTTGATCTGCTGCTATTGTCACTTATCTGCCACCGACAACTCCAACCTATCGTCGATTTGCTGTAGAAAGATAAGTTTGTGTTTTTTTATCTTCAAATCTCTTATTCATTTTTTTTTTTTTTTTTGTTTCTTTTATCTTTAACAAACAAAAAAAAGTCAAATAGCCAAGGAGTCAAAGTAAAAAAACAAAAAAAAAGGTTAAAAAACAAAAACAAAAAAAGGGTACCCAAGTCAAGTCAAAAAAAAAAAAAAAATGTGTGGAGAAATTTTACGAAAAAAGTCGGTTGCAAACTTGGAAGCAAGTTACTCAGAGGTTAGACGAGAGGCGACTACACCCGACATGCTCAACAAAAAATAAAAGTTCTACTAATGCTGTTGTGGAAAAGAAAGTAGATGTCACATAGTCCTCATCATTTGTAGCCACTGCTGAAAATGATGGTAAGTCTTTCCATATGTGTACATCTATTTCTAATAATGCATGGATAATTGATTTTGGTGTTACTGGTCATATGACATTTGATTCTAGGCATGTTTCTAATCTTAAGTCATCCTCACAAAACTTTGTTTCTACAGCCAATGGTGAATCTAACCGGGCCATTGGAGAAGGATCATTAACCCTTAAAAACTTCATACACTTAGATTCTGTCTTAGTTGTCCCTAATGGTGGAAAAGTAACCCGCCCAGCCCGCAGCGGGTTATTGATTTTGGCGGGTCGGTCCTAACCCGCCCGCTAACAAAGGCAAGCCCGGTTAGGCTTGCCATTTTTTGGGGATTGGCTGGCCCAGCCCGGCTCATCAACCCTAACCCATCGGGTTAGGCTGCGGGTCAGGTCGGGTTAGCCCCCCTTTTTTGTTTTTTTTTCCTTTTATTTTGTTTTGTTTAATTAACTTTTCAAATGAATAATTAACAATTTATAAATGAATAAATGTAATTGTTTTTAGTTAACTTTTCAAATATCAATAATTCAATTAAATTATTATTATTATTTTTTTGTTAACATTTCAAATATTAATTCGATTTTAATACAATAAAATTGTAATATAAGAAAAATTAGATTTATTCATTTATCAAAAAATAAAATAAGAAATTATGTAACAACTACTGAAAACTAGGACAATGCATGCATAATAACAATATAAAATTGGGCCCCAAAAATTTCTTTTCATTAGAAATCATATGTCTTTTATACACAAAGATTACTGTTTACAAAAATGCATTTTAAAAGACAAAACAGGGGAAAACAGTGTAGCTAGTCCTCTTCGCTTGCCGACGCCCCTCCGACTGCGTCATCACCTAGAACCTGCATCCACAAAGGAAAATAACGGGGTGAGCACAAATAATGCTCAGTAAGTAAAACTCTCTAACTGTCTGTCCCCGTGTGTGACTCTTAATTCTTTCCTTTTCTAATTCTGTTTCTATTTCTGTTTCTAATAACATCATGGCCTCATCTTACCGGAGGTACGGCCGGATGGCGTTCACACAGCACCATCTCACTCTCTATGGCTATCGGGTGGAATTCACACAGTACCAACCCGTTCTTAGTGACTACCGAGTGAGGATCACAAAGCACCAACTCGATTCTTCTTAACTATCGGGTGGAGATCACCTAGCACCTACCCGTTCCTCATGAATTTTGGGTAACGTTCACCAAGCATTTACCCGTCTCTAGTCACTATCGGGGGATGATCACAAAGCATCAACCCGCTTCTACTAACTATTGGATGATGATCACAAAGCATCAAACCACTTATCTAATAACTAATCGGGTAGTGATCACAAAGCATCTACCCCATTTCTATTACTCATTGGGTGACGATCACAAAGCATCGACCCATCTCTAAGGGCTATTCGGATGATGATCACAAAGCATCAATCCGATTCCCATAACGGTCGGGTGATGATCACAAAGCATCATCCCAACTATACTACTCTTCTAATTCATTCTATTGTAGTATTTCTCAATGCTCTCTACCCTTAGAGTAGTTGTACCCACCAAGCTCTCTACTCATAGGGTATTTGCACACACAATTCTCTTACACTTTCTTAGGTCACTTTTCCATGTACAACTAGTGCCTATGGATGGTTCAACTTCACCAATGCACTTATGAGATGCCAACATGCAATGTTGCAAGAATTAAGGTTCATTACTCACACTCAAACCTCTATTAGGCATTTCATCAAACAACTCATGTGCACTATAAAACTCTATTATAGCCATGATTCTAAAACTTTTCTTAACCATCCAAAATGGGGAAAAACCCCTTCACAAAGCCATGAAAACCTGTCAAACAAAACACTTCCAAAAAGGGTTTCATAACACCCCTTCAAATCCATCTCAACTACCTTGTCAATCCAACAACCCATTTCTCATATTTGCAAGGTATTAACATTCACAAAGCATAGAAATCTCCATTTAATACTCCATACATGGCATATTACATGCACATCACATACATACATCATTTCTATCAAAACCCTAATCAAGAAATTTCATGAATCTCAACTTGGGTTGGGTTTTACTTACCTTGTTATGGAGAGACTTCACAAATTCTTCCTTTCACTTGTTTAGCTTGACTTTCCCTCTAATCTTAACCAAAAGAATGAAAACCCTCAAACTTCAATATGGGTTAAAACTCCCAAATCACACAACTTAAGTAGAGATTCTTACCTTAGGAAGCCTTAGGTTGCTTTTCTACCTCAAATCACTTCAAAAACCCCTTGGAAATCCTTGATCAAAAGAGAAGAGAAGTTGAGAGGAAGAAGAATGAAGAGTTGCGTTTGAGAAGAAGAAATGAGGGGTTTGTTAATTCTAATTCCTTTTAATGAAATTTAAACACAAGCATTCCCATTTTGCCCTTACTCTTCTTTGGGAATTCCATCTATATCCTTTGATTCATTACAAACTCACCCCCATATCAACACATTCTCCATGAAAAATCCTTACAATTAACTCCCCACTTTTCCTGCTAATTAGGGGTAGAATGGTCAAATTGCCCTTAGGGAAGAAAATATCTAAAACTCAATCAACATTTTATTCGGGCTGTCGCCGCGGCGAAGAAACTTCTGTCGCCGCGGCGAAACCGTCCAGAGAGTTTCCGGTGGTTTCAACACATCTTCGCCGCGGCGAAGATTCTTCTTCGCCCCGGCGAAGCTCGGCATACTACACTTCTTCTAATTTTAACCCATTTCAAGGCAATTAATCCACACAACACTCATACTAATAACTATCAAACAGTATTACCAAAAACAACTCAAATGAGGGCGAAAGAGGAAACAATAACTACGTACCTCAAGTGGGGCGTTACAAATTACAACAATTATTGCCTCGTTAAAAACCTCACCAAGAAAAACTCAATGGGACAAAAACTTGGTAAACAAAAAAGAGTGCAATAATTGACAATTAATTTACAAGTTATAATTTACAAAACAACTAATTTGGGGGTGGTTGACTAGGACCTCTCTCATCCGTATCATCTATATTACAAAATTGAAATGATTCTATTAAAGTATCGTCGACAACCTCGTATTGATCTTGATGGTGCGACGGCTCCCAATCTCGAAGACATGTGAGGACTTTAATCATTTTTGGAGAAAGTTTAGTCCTCCTTTCATTTAAAATTCTTCCACTTGCACTAAATGTTTGTTCGGATGAGACGGTTGAGACAGGAACAGCGAAAACATCCAAGGCAAGTCTTGATAATACCGAAAAAATACATTTTCTGGCTTTCCAATATTCTAAGACATCAAAGTTGGCACTCTGTTGTAGATCTGCTAGAAACATTTCGGGGGTTGCCAAATATTGTTGAAGCTCATTACTCTGTGACTGCATGGAGTACAGTATATTAGTTGTTGTTGGTGGTGGTGGTGCTTCTGAAGAGGAGGTTGTGCTTCAGATTCGGGTCATCTTCGGCCTATTCAGTGCACTTCCAGAGTAGAAGTCTTCATTTGTTTCTTCTGATGCAGCTTCCCTAGATATTTCGCCTCTTTGCAAGTTCCCATACCTATTTTTATATTGGAAATATGCTTCTGCAAGACAATTTTTTACCTCTCCTATTTGATTGGCATATGCTTCTGTTTGTAAATTTTCACTTAAATTGTCTAAACCATTTTCTAAACCTGCTAATTTAATTTTAAGATCAAATATAGCACCTAAACAATAAAGAAAATGAATGGGTTCCTAATATTTTTAAAAAAAAAATTCCATTGCCTTTATTGGTTCCTTTAAAATTTCATTGTTTTTGTTTTTTGTAAACAATTCTGAAATTTTTATAATTGTATGTATTACCAATGGATTAGTAGGATAATACACACTAGAAAGTTGTAAAGTGGATTGGTAAAAAATTTTAAGAAAAAAATGAAATATTT